GGGTTTGGTAGACACGGGCATTAATGTGGTGGGTGTGTATAGTTGGTTGGCAGGTGCATTATTGTGAGAGAGGCCCACCTATTTTGGTGTGGGGTATAAAATTACCACAATATCCTTGATGAATGTATAACTTTGACTTTTTATTAACCATTAGATCATCCGATCTACTGGTTACAATTCATTCTTATTTCTCTCACTGAGTACTATTCTCACTGGAACGCGACCCCTATATATATATAACTTACTTAATTCAAAAGTCAATCAAATGACAATTTATATTCCATACAATGACCACTGATACACGACAATTGAATCTCATTCAACTAAAGTGATTTGTCCTTCTGTTTCCTTCACATCACGGGATGACAACAAACAAAGCATAATGATCATTTAGAACTTTGCTGCAATTTAGTCAACTTTCCATTGCCACCAGAAATTTTAATACCCTTCATTCTAAACCATTGCCAGTCCAGTATGAATTCTCAAACTTACTTTCTTGCATTCAACCAGTGCTTCTTCTGAACTGATTAAGAAGCTGGAAAAGAATCCAAGAACAAACATATCAGCAATTAGAAGATGTTTGTATAAATTTTAACTGGACATCAAAATTACTTTTTACCTTGTCTGACTGAATGGACACATCTATGTAGAAATCTACAATTTCAAATTGTTCATTTTGTTAATGATATATGGCAACAACAACAACAACAACAACAACAACGATATACGTTTATTTGTTCATCATAATTTTTGTTATTTAATTAAATTATCTTATTTAATTTTAATGCAATATTTCAAATTATTTAGATTTAATATATGTTATTTTAATCTAATTTACCTTATTTTATTTTAATTAAATTTTTCATATTGTTGAATTTTACATTATGTTATTTATTTTGAATACATTTACCGAATTATTTATTAATTATTTAACTTACGTTTTTATTATTTTAGTTTTCATCTGTCATACATATTATTATTTAAATTATTTTTATTTATCTAAATATATATTAATTACGAACTAAAAATGAATAAACTTAATAAATAAAAATATATTACTTTATTTTTCGTTTAGTTCTAGTTTGTCTTATTTATTATTTATAATATTTATATTTTTATAGTATATTCATCATACTTAATTTTACTGTAATTTATATAATTATTTTAACCATGTTTACGTTATTATTTAATATACTTTATTTTATTTTAATTAAAGTTATCATAAACTTCAGCGGGTCGAGGATAAGAGAGGTAGAGGTCGGCCTAAACTCACTTGGGAAGAGTCGGTTAAGAGAGACCTTAAAGATTGGAATATCTCCAAGGATTTAGCGGTGGATAGGAACGCTTGGAGGCTCGCTATCAACGTGCCAGAACCGTGGCTTTTGCTCCTTCCTCTCTCTCTCTCTCTCTCTTTTTTTTTCTACTCCTTTTGGTGCGAGTCTTTTTTGTGTTTCTCTTGGGTTTCAACTCTAGCCTACCCCGACTTGCTTGGGACTAAAGGCTATGTTGTTGTCGTTGTTGTTGTTGTTGTCATAAACTTTTATTTTAATTTATCTTATTTTATTCATTTCATAATTAACTTAATATATTATTATTTTGAATTAGTATTTATTTATTTATTTTTAATATACCTTATTTTTTTATTATTTAATTGATTTTTATTTTTTAATAAAACTTTTATATTTAATTCATCACATTAATTTAACTTATTTTCATTTTTTGTATTGTATCTTAGTCTATTTATAGGTCTTTTATTTTATCTATTATATAATATTATACTTATTATTTTATTTATTTGCATGTTTTCTTATTTTATAAATGGAATTGATTTTTATTTTATTTTATCTACTTTTTATGATACATATTGTAATATGTACGTGTGTAATTTGGAGGTTAAATGTCATGACAAATTCTCTCCAGGCGTGGGTTCAAATAAAAAATTCAAAGAAGGTGTATTTGCCAATTTATTTTCCAACATTTGAATTTGTATAATAAAATTCAGAAGGGTAAAAAATAAATTATTAATTCAGAACGGTAAAATAAAATTTATATAATTTTTGCAACAGTAGAAGGTGTATCACGCGCGCAGTTAAATTGGACGAAGAGATGGGAATTGTGCGCCCAATAGTTAATATAAGGGGTTTTCGCGCATTGTTTGAAACATAAGGAAAAGAGCGCAAATTAATTAAAATACAGGGATATCACGCAATAAACCCCATTATTAACAGCTAAATATTATTGCTTAAAGGAACAGAAACAGAAAGGAAAAGGCTAATTGTAATATCCCATTCAGTAATTAATAAAAATAATTATTTTAGTTCTAAGTTGAACTAATTACTTTTATTAATAATGCTCGTTCCTAGTTCCGAGCCCAATTATTAAGTTATTCAGTTAAAAGTTCGACTTTAAGTCGAAAGTATTCTCGGTTAAATTTTATTCAGTAATCGAGCCAGTTCAGTAATTAATTCCGGTCTGTTTATTTTTATAAATGGATTTATAAGACGGGATTAATTAATATAAGATGACGAATAATCAAAATCGAGTATATTTTGATTAATCGTTCAAGATAAGTATGGAACCGAAACCAAGTATGTTCGGTCATGAGTTGAGTCTTAATTAAGTAATAGCCAAGCCTTAGTACTAAATACTTAGAATTTTTCTAAGTGTTCAAGTCATCAAGATAAAATCATAGTATTGAACCTTAGCACAATTTGAGACAAGTTAAGTCTCGAAGTAAGGTTAAGTATCCATGAACATTTAAGTTATAAATGTTCAAAGAAGTGAGAAAATTTATTTAGATATTATTGTCTATTTAAATTATTTTAAGAGAAACCGAAATTTCTAGAATTTTCGGTTTTTACGGTAATCGTTCGGTTTAAGTCCGAATGTGGTTCCGTAAATGTTAGAATATTTCAAGATCATTATATTAGCTCCTAAGAAGCAATATGTTCAGCAAATTGAAGGAAAAACCAGGAGTAAAAGATTTAAATTTTAGAATTTTCAGTTTTACGGTAAACGTTCATTTTAAGTTCGAATTGAGTTCCGTAAATTGTATTATTCTCGGTTTCTTAGCATGTTCTAAGACCATATATGAGCATTATTTTTCATAAAAAGAGTTTTAAAAGTCAGCCATTTTGAAAGAAAATGCATAAGTAATTAAAAGGATGATTTTTATTATTTTTATTATCTTGTTTCCAAAGATTTTTATATGATGAATGGTGACATTTTTTCAATAATATATGGAATCAATTCCATCACATTAAGCACGAAATTTTGGTCATCAATTGGTGAGAATTAGAAGAGAAAATCACAACAAAGTTTTGCTAAGTCTTTAAGTTAGCATTTTTTTCAACAATTGGTGAGAATTTTATTAAACTTTGGTGGACTAAGTTTCATCTACCAAAAGCTCATTCATGGCTATAAATAGAGGCATTTCAATCATATTTTCTCATCAAGTATCTTCTCAAATCATCATAGTTTCATCAAAAAGATAGAAAGAGAGAGAAAAATAAAAATAGTTGAGTTTTAATTTTCAAAGAAGTAAAGGAGCAACTTTAGATTTTCAAGCAAGAAGGAGGTAAGATGTTATCTTTTTAATATGTTTAGTAGATGATATTAAGTGTTTAATAATGTTTTTATATGACCTAGATATTAAATTTTTATATGAGTATAAGCATACTAAAAAATAAGTTATATCCAGCTCATATATATGTCATATGTGTTCAGTTATGATGAGATTTTTACCTAGCTATGAAAAATCTGGAAATATATGCTTCCTATGGTTATTTCTTGTGTAAAAGAGGAGTACATAGGATCAAGAATCAAGTTATTTAGTTTAGTATAACTCAAGATATGAATTTTTAAAGTTTATCATGCAAGCTGAATTTTATGTACTTGTTTACAGCAACAACTTTAAACTTGAATAAGTCGAGATATATGCATAATAAAATTATGAAATTTTTATGACATGTCTAAATATGAGTTAAGAACATGACTGCTAAATTTCATGATTTAAAGTTGAGAAATGAATGAGTTAAGATATTTAGACGGCATATATGTAAAGATGATTTTATATGTGCGAATATTCATTATATGTTCAAGTTTTTTTTAAAGTGAGATTATCATGAAAAAATCTCATATAAGTGATGAGCAATTTGACAAAGTTTTAGCTTAATATGTTGAGTATACAATTTTATAAAGATTGTTTTTAAGTCTTGCATATTAATATCATAATTGAGTGTTATGATTAAAAGTTGAGTATGTTTGAGTTAATGTGAAATTTAGTTTATTTTCACTTTCAAGTTGTTTAAGTAACAAGTGAGTATAAGCCAATATATAAGATTCGGAAAATATGATTTATATGGATTGAGTATTTGATTGAGTAAAAATTCAAGAAAAGTTAAGTTTAGTAGTCATTTGAGCAATAATATGCCTATTGAATCTATTTAAGATAAGGATAAGTTATAAGTTAAAGTTGAGAATCCCAGTATCTTATTGAGTATACGAGCATAGTACTTAGTATATTTGTTTATATTTTTATGTAGCTTGCAGATACAGCTACCCAGAACAACACTTACAGTTTTCAAAAGTTTTTCAAAAGAAGAAAGGTGGGGACCCAGCCTGGGTATTGCATTGACTATAATATGATATCATGTCCGAGGTATGTATACAATTTAAGTTTATACGCTTGGGATGAAGGTTCTAAGTTGCCTTACAAGTACATCTTAAGTTCTGATGGAGGCCCCAAGTTGCCTTAAGAAATATCCATCAGATTGTGCACAAGTATCCGATCAGATATCGGCCAGATTAAAGATTCAGTTTCAGTTACTGGAACAGATTTCCAGTCCAGATATATACCGATGATCATGATATTATATTATTATTGTTGTTTACTTTAGTATGGGTGATTTCGGGGTACAAAAGGACCAGTACTCACCCACATTGTGTTTTTCAGGTCACAGGGTCGGGGCAGAGATGTGAAATTTACAAGTGGTGGTGGTGGTCGTGGATGCAACCAGTTGCTATATTATGTGGACATTTATTTATACAGTCTGTATAATAAGAGACGCTTTTAAGAAATTCCGCTATGCATTTAAGTTTCGAACTTGCATGTTAAGTATTTTCAGATTTACAGAGCTTAACCGCAGTTCAATAGTGTGAACATGGTCTAGTTACATGCATGTTTGATTAAATCTGTTTTCTTTATGTCTAAACCAGTAGTTAGATCAAGTTTAAAGAAAAACAGATTTTCAGAAAAGATAAGTTTAGTAGCATCCCGAGTGAAGCGCAAAAGATTTCGAAAAATTATTAAGTATTTTCGAAGTAAAAGTTGCGAAAAATTTACTCTGATAAGCGGGATGTTACACTAATACTAACTGACCTGCACAGGATACTGTAAAATCCAGCCAAGTACCGGAATATGATAAAGAAACACCTTGATTGAAGGCCAGAAACCACTGCTCATCACCATGAAATTCATAGTTAAAGACCAGAAAAGAGTCAAGCTTATCATACCAAATACTTCAAAAGATAAAAGTTATAAAAATAAAATCAGATGGATTCCATACCCAAAAAGCACTAAGCAACCATAAATTTCAACAAGTATACCAAGTACTGGCCAACGGACAAAGATAAAGAATATTCCAAGGAGAAATGAAACTGAACCCTGCAGAAGCAACAGTTCATCGATTCTTAAATTCTTCTTGGTCATAATAAGATAAGCATGTGCATTTTCTTTCTTGTTCCTTTTTTTTTTCAATAAAAGATACAAAGAACGAGGAAAAACAGGAATGGTCCCTTGGCTTTTGTTATAATCTTTTTGAAAAGCTTACATCAAAAGACGTCACAGTTGTTAGACGATGAACTTGAGAATATCAATGCTTCAGGAAGAAAAAAAAGATGGAAATATTATGGAGTTTCCCATTCCCTTTTCTTAGTCTCCTGATCCTTGCTTGTCTCAATAATAAAATTATATCCTAATTCAATTAGGTAACAAGGGAAACTCCTAAAAGAGAATGAATAAAATCAGCGACTTTTGATCAAAATAAACCAAGATCCAAAAAGAAAGGAACAAAAACTGTCAATTTGTTGATTAACTAAAGAAAAAATTATATTAATTCATCAATCAAATAAACCAAGATATATTCATTATTTACTTCATGTTCGCCACTGATTCTTTGGGTGCTCTTCTGATTAATATTTACAAAAGTATTCATCACCACTACATTGGAATGGCAATAATGGCTAAAACCAAGATAAAAATTTATAAAAGGTGATTATGCATCCAAAAACCGAGAAACCAACTCCTAAAGTAAGATACATTTACATGCATTTGTCCTCTCAGCGAGTACCTTATAGTTTCTTCTATTTGTGAAGAGTTGCCAAGTGGATCGCCAACCCAGTAAAATGGCTACACCTGCTAGCCAGAATATCTGAGGGAAAGGGCTAAACATAAATATATATTACCAGGGCAAAGAAGACAGAATGAAAGAAACTGAGCCATAAGAGTTGCCTTACATTTCCAAGAGCTAGCAAACCTCTGTCAAAAAATAAAATTATGGCCAAGAAGAAGAAGAATATACCAAACCCAACAAGACCGAGACCAATTTCTGCAAGTAGTTTTTCAATAAAGCATAGGTTGTCAATATTTGATTCATATCAAATTATTCCACTCCAGTTTAAAATATCCCACATAAGCATGTGATGGTTGATTCATAGCAAACAACAACTATATGCCATCATAAAAGCTTTTCCCAAAAATATTTTAGCACAAAAGACAACTCAATTTAGATGAACCTTGCAGACAGGTTCAATATTTTTGAAGGAGGATTGTGGGATTACCCAAAAGATGCAACATGCCAAACTAAAATCTCATTTGCAAGCCCATCGACAAACCCTGCAATCGAGTTATTATATACTTCTCACCCCAAACCCTGCAGCTATGGCAAATCATCTTAACTATCTGTTCGCATCAGTTTTCTCTCCTTTGTTATATTCCAAGTTAATAATCCATTATAATGTACAACCTCAACAGCTCGTCATGCCTCAACATAAGTTTAGTAAAAAGGTCATATAAAAATCCACAGGAGAAAACCTTTCAGCAAAAAATTGAAAGAGTTAGTTCATGTGGTATTTCCTGATATGAAGCTAAGAATAGCTAATTTCTTTCCTTTTTTCCATCTTTTCCTAAATAGTATAGCCTGGGATGATGTGTTATTACAGTGAAAGAAAAGTAAAACATAACTTATACTAGGTTTTATGCTTACAGAAAAAAGAAAATGTGAATGAAAATAAAGTGAAAATTGGACGAGTAACATTGCCGAAGTTTATATCCAGAAGAACATTAACTAAGATCCGCCTCTTTATCAAAATGACAAACCAATTCCTATTACCAATAAAGAAAATAAGTGTATCAGACAATTATACACAAACTGTGTAAAAGAAATTCACTCACTTTTTTGCTCATTCAGCTCATACGGCATCTTGCCCAGCGATAAACTACTCAGGATTCTTTTTCTGGCATGAAAATGTAAGAAAGTGAAGATTATTATCCGCTAAAAAATTGCTAGAACGAACTACCATGATGATAATAAAAAGAAAGCGGCTGATAATTACCGGAAATGACAAAGAATCCGCGACACAGAATGACTTTTAGGGTCCGTTTCCTGATAAAAGATTAATGGCTTTATCAATCCTTAATTCCTTTGGGTAAAAAACTTGGCGAAAATACACATACACGTGTAAATCAGGCAGCATGTGCCAATTAACGAGATTTTAAAGTTAAACGCAGATTTGTTGCTCCATAAAACTTAATTACCCAAAATTACGAAGCTACAACAGAAGGAAGAAAATCTGTGGAAATCAACTCAAATCTACCCAAAAAATCAGCTCGCGAGGAACTCTTCAAAAAGGAAATTGTTGGAACAATCCAAAACAGAAAAACTCACCTTTCGAGTATGGAAATGTGGAACACTTTCGATCTCGAGCTCGAGCTCGCGAACACTTTCGAGTATGGAATTTTCTGAATCTCGAGCTCGCGAACACTTTGATCTGGGAGATTGAAGGTATATTTCGAATATTTTCCGTCTAATTTGAAGTAGCCAATGCTATTTTCATTGAACAGAAGCTTAATTTTCAACAATGGCGGCTTGGGTGTTTTTTTTTTTTTAACCAATCCATTTTTTGTAGTATTTATTGAGGTATTTTTGTGGTAATCTGCAGCAATATGTCGAAAATTATGGTGTTTTTGCACTACAATGGAGAGTGGTGTAACAACACTTACATTGATTTTGAAGTTGGGGGAATATCTATGAATCAGAGTTGTTGTTTCGACGATTTCACCAAGCAAGTTGCAGATTTACTGAAGATAAACCACATGGAATCAAGGTGGAGTTTTAAGTATCAGGTACGAGATGGATATCCAGCCATTAAAATTGATGATGATCAAAGCCTTGGATTCTACATGGATTTGAAGTCGAGGGAGGTTGATTACACTAAGTTTCCAATATGTGTGATTAAGGAACAAAAAAATACTTTGATTCCAGTTCCACTCCTCATCAATGCGGATCACAGCGAAGTTGCAGGGAATGAGGGCATTGTTGCTGCTTTGGACTTTGATCAAATTGACTATGAAGGTTCAAAGTATATGAATTTTATGGATTTTGCAAGAGAAGCTGCCGAAGCCATGTCGTTAGCTGCATCAAGTGTTGAACAACAACAGACCACATACGGAGCTCTTGATACGACATCAGCTAATGTGGTCGAAGTGATGCACAATCCAGCAATTGGACATTCATTTTCCAGCAAAACTAGTCTGCAGAAAATGCTTGCGTTATATGCAATCAAGCACCAGTTCCAATTCAAGGTACAAAAATCGTGTCCTAAACAGTACTTCGTAAAGTGTGTATGGGATGGGTGCAATTGGTTCATTAAATCATCTCGAGTAGGACGGTCGAGTATGTTCAAAATCAGGGAAATGGTGAAAGATCACAACTGTCCATTTGAGGTCAGAACAAACAACCAACGACAAGCTACGTCAACACTTGTTAGTGAATGCATAAAGGGGAAATTCACAAACGTGACAACAAAATACAACGCTGCAGAAATTATACACGATATGAAGTTGACATATGGCATCGATTTATCATACAAAAAGGCATGGAGATCAAAGCGCAAGGCTCTAGACGAGGTACAGGGAAAACCGGATGAATCATACGAATACATTCATGAGTACCTCCAAAAGCTCTGTCACTCGAATCCCGGAAGCATTGTGAATCTCTGTACTACTGAAGATAAACATTTCGTGTACCTGTTCATGTGTCTAAATGCTTCGATCAAGGGCTGGCCACATTGTAGGCCTATCATTGTTGTTGATGGCACGTTTCTAAAGTCTACATATGGAGGAGTTTTACTCACAGCGTGTACGCAAGATGCAAATTCGCACGTACTCCCACTTGCTTTCTGCATCGTGGACTCGGAAAACAATGAGTCATACTCTTGGTTTTTCAGCAAGTTGAAATCTGCCCTACCTGAGAGAGAGGGATTATGCATTGTCTCAGATGCTCATGAAAGCATCAAATACGCCGTATCAAAGGTAACTATGAAAACAACAGTATATTTCTTCTTTTTATGGATGACCTGCAAGATAAGTGTCGACTTTTGAATGATTATGTTCTGTACTTTATAAAATGTAGGTATATCCAGAAGCTTCGCATTGCTTGTGCACTTACCACCTCGCCAACAATCTGAGGAATAACTATAGAATAGCAACAACGGAAGTTAAGCATGCATTTATTTCAGCCTCTAGAGCATATACAAAGGAAGAGTTCAACAGGTATATGCTGGAACTGAAGAAGTTGGATCCAAGGGTACCAACACATCTTGAAAAAGTAGGTTTCCACAAATGGGCTCGTATCCACTGCCAAGAAAATAGATTCTTCACAATGACGTCAAACGCAGCAGAAACTATAAACTCGGCTACGAAAGTGGTGCGTGAATTACCTATAACAACGTTGCTTGAATCTTTGAGATCAATACAGCAAAAATGGAACGTGGCAAATCGAGATGAGGCAAAGTGCATGTTTACTATTCTGACAAAAAAAGCAAACAATATCCTTGAAGAAAATTACAAAGTGGCTTCCTGTTTGTTTGTAAGTTTATTTTATGTTTATATTGTAATAATTTAATAGAATAAATAATCTGTATGAAACTGAATTTGTGAATGAAAAGGAATTTGTGTATATGTTGACAGGTCCAGAAGGCGAGCGACCAAGTTTATAAGGTGTATAACGACGTGTATTCACATGTTGTAAATTTGGATGCCAAGACATGCACTTGCAATCGGTTTCAAATGGACGAGCTACCATGTCCACATGCCATACGCGTCATTCGGTCTTTACATATTGATCCAGTGCCATTTTGCTCTGATTATTACAGGACGACTAACTTTTTGGAGACGTATGGTGAAGTAGTTTATCCTATCGAAGGTCCGCAAACATTTGATGCTGTGGACAATAAAAAACAGAGACAGGTGCAACCACCTATAGGCAAAGCGAAATCGGGGCGTCGGCGAAAACAACGATACAAGTCTCCATTTGAGGCTCTTAAAAAGAACAAGTGCGGAAAATGCGACGAGAGGGGCCATAATGTAAAGACCTGTCCAAATCCTCCGAAGATCAGAGTAGATAACCATTGATGACACTTGTTGAAGTTGCAGGATTTTTTTGTCAATTATTTTCAAAGTTGATGCTCTGTTGATCTAATTTGGTGCTATGTTGGGGACTACCAGTTTACAATGAGTTTTATGTTCTGGACATAACAAGTTTTTTTTTTCTTTTTTTTTTTTGCCTAATATGAGTAAATATATATGATTCTATTTTAGTGTCAACAAAGAATATTTTTTGAGTGCATGAGTTAATATATTGGTTTTTATATAGATTGCTATTGGTCCTTGAAATTGTGTTGTATTGGTGGTATCGATTTTTGAACAACATTTAGAGATTAGAATGTGTTTGATGATAGTGTAGTTTGTGAATGAATTTATATGTAATTTAATAGTTAAGAAAATGTTTAGATTATCCAAAGAAAACTGAGAAAATACAAAAAGTAAACACCAAATGGATACATTATAAATTAAAAACAATTAAACTTGCTAAAAATATTGTGTATTAAAACAACTACTAAAAATAAGTCAGTTATTCATATTAAAACCATCAACTTTTTCACAATTATAATATAGTTTAGAAATTCCATAAATAAACACATAAATTACACAAGTTCATTGGTACCTGATAGTCAATGGTAGACATGAAAAACACTACAAGTAAAATACATAAATAAGTTACTCAGTAAAATATACTATAAGTAAAATACAAAAATACCACAAGTATTCCTTGAACAAACATAAGAATTGGAGAAAAATGTAATATCATACATAAAAACACCAAGAAATAAACCTGATAACATACAATCATTCAAAACATGTCCAACATATTCCATAACACACCATGCCCAAAAGGAGAAACACCAGAGTTTAGTTTGTCTACATAGTCTGACAAAAAATACATGATAGAACAACAATGTCAACCAAACTCGTTAAACATCAAATTCAGATGCTAATTAGTATAGGGAAGTACTAGCAAACTTCGATAATTTGCCGGCAACGGACCAGGCGAATCATCATCACTCTCGGAATCTTTTTCCTGCTTCATTTTTCCATGTGTGTACAATAGGTATGAAAACCTTGACCGCTCGATATCAACGTCAAACGTAGCAGCATTGATGGGCTCATTAGAAACAATATACTCCGCAAACGAAGCAACGAATACGCCACAATCACTGGCAAGTATGAAAAACAAAAAATACAGAAAAAATGAATGTAATTAGATTTAAATAGAAAAGAACTATTAAAGTTATAAACTATATTAAAATACAACTTACCAGAATAGCTGCTGGGGCAAATCTTCCACGAAAATGACATCAAGAGGATCATTCTCTGCCTTTCCCGAGTATGGACCAATGTTTTTTTTTTTGTCAGCACGTCTAGAGACAAATTTTACCATAGCAAGAAATATGGGGATCAATATGGAATATCGCTTGACACTCTCTAGCACAACCTGGTCAAAATCAGTCGATCGACAGGAGTTATAAATCATCAACGTTCTAGTTGCGAACGACAACCTCCCTAATATCCAATGGCCAACACCTTCCAACTCAACATGAATCGGAAAGAGTACGTAATCAACATCGAGCCATGACTCCCCGCACAGAATTTTGAATCCAAACATGTAGTCGACAATGACACTATCGATCGTACAAATCCGGGGGTCACATGAGTTAACAATGTATAAAGAATATAGTGATTTCATCTGCTGGTCGAAAAAATTATCAGTGGTAGTAAATTTCTGAGAAGGTGGTTCAAGAGCATACAATCCAATCTTTCGGATGTAGTAGAACAAAACATCAATATGCTGAAAAAAAAATATTTAAAAATTAGAACGCGAAAAAAGGAAAAAGGACGAAGACAAACACAGTTAAAATGATACTTACACTACCATCAAGGAAACAATTGGATTCATACAAGGTGAAGAACCAATTCTTATCCGAAACCACGTCAACATTAAAATCAAATGGGGGGCTTAAGGTTGTGTTCTTCTTGTCATAGTACACGAACCTTTCAGAAGATGAATTAAATATAAAATAAGAAGAATGAACAAATGACGGAATGTAATAAAAACAACAAAATGAAAGTACATACCCTTCCTTTTTCTTACGCCGATTCTTAAGTTTACCCACTTTCAACCACTCAACGAGATCCGAAGTTAAATCAAACCGCATCGTGTCCCAAAAATCAGTGTCAAAAGGGCATGACTTACAAATAACTTGTCTTTTTTTTACACGTTTGATTTTCTTAAATGGGATGTCGACCACCGACACAAGATCATCCACATTTTGGTTACCCTGTATACCAATATCAAGACCTCCAATAACACCAGGAGTGTCCTTCATTAAAGAAACATAACAGATCAATAGCTATGCATAAAAATAATAAGTTATATACTTCGAGGAAAACATGAGGTTTACTTTACGACATCGAAAGGTAAGATAAACTGTGAATAAACTTTTTGACTTCAGTTCAAGGAAAACATGAGGTTTACATTTAGACATCAAAAGGAAAAATACACTACAGATAAACCAACAAAAAACCACGGATAACCCAACAATAAACCACAGATAAACCACACATATATATATATATATGTATAACCACAGATAAACCAACAAAAAACCATAAATAAACCACAAATATATATATAAGTATAACCACAGATAAACCAACAAAAAACCACAGATAAACCACAGATATATATATACGTATAACCACAGATAAACCAACAAAAAACCATAAATAAACCACAAATATATATATAAGTATAACCACAGATAAACCAACAAAAAACCACAGATAAACCACAGATATATATATACGTATAACCACAGATAAACCAACAAAAAACCATAAATAAACCACAAATATATATATAAGTATAACCACAGATAAACCAACAAAAAACCACAGATAAACCACAGATATATATATACGTATAACCACAGATAAACCAACAAAAAACCATAAATAAACCACAAATATATATATAAGTATAACCACAGATAAACCAACAAAAAACCACAGATAAACCACAGATATATATATATATACGTATAACCACAGATAAACCAACAAAAAATCACAGATAAACCACAAATATATATATATAAGTATAACCACAGATAAAAAAAACACACAAAAAAGTATATACACAAGAGTAAAAGTATAACCAAATATAAACCAACAAAAAACCATATTGAAACATTTTCATGAACAGTTGTAAATATAGAAGTTATATACACAAGAGTAAAGTCATATTACATTTTTGTTGGCAGTTAGCATGCTTTTTAATTTTCCCTCGGTCGTCCTATCAATCTCATCCATCATTTGCGGGGTCAAAACAGGGAAACCATCAACATCGAAATCTACATTATGTTCACCATTCCCTTGTACAAACTGAGAAACATATCAACCAAAATAAAAAAAGGATTACTGATTTTAAATGTAGACTTAGTTGTGATCATAGAAATAAAATCAAATAATTACACTTACATCTTCAGCATCAACTTCCTTGTGGATCCCAACGTTTTCTTGATGACGACTACTTTCTGGAACATCGTTGGGCTTAGCACCTTCTCCATCATTTAATCCCTTAGAAAGTAAACACAGTTAACTTAGATAAAAAATAAATTACGAAAACTCTGATGATACAGAATAAATTTAACTTAGATATGTTATGTTAAGAAGAAAAAATTGTAGATTGAGCATAAACCGTTCGAGAAATATCTTGGTTATCCACATCATGGGGGAGATCTTGTTGTTTACCACTTTCTTCATGCTGATACATAGTTAAGTGAAAATATTAAAAAAAGAAACACATGTATTCCATGTATATATATATGTAAAAGTAAACCAAAAATAGACCAATTATAAACTTACCAGCATTGTTTCTTTAAGACTGAGTATCTCATGCATCACTTTAGTCGAAAAGTCAGTAAACAACTTCTTCAAATCATCCAAATCATTCATAATCTTCACTTGGTTTGAAGACAACTCGTTTAAACGTCCTATAAAAGGAGACTCAGTTGCACCGGGAACAGAGAATGTAGGAGTACTTTGAGATTCATTACGGATGAACTCGTTCCTTTCGACAAAAAAACCGTCCAGCTGAAGGATCGTCTTCTCCGATTCGGTGGGAGTTATATTTTTGAACTGTAGGGATTAATACACATTAAAAAATAAAAGAACTTAAAGCAATGTTATGAAAAGATAACTTAATAGTAAAATATTAAAATAAGCAACTAATAGAAACCTTATCTGATGGCAAGGTCAAGAAAACCCTCTGGATGAGTCGTCTACCACATCTCATGTGTGCCTCCCAATTTAACATCCGGGGCACATTAGGAACTGAAAGACGGGTACATATGACTCCATCTGTGCTATCACACACCTCATAAAACCACACCTGAAGCGATAGAATAAACCCACGTATCCTATAAAGATATACTCTTTTTTCAGTGCCATCTAATTTCTGAAGCAAAGACTCCTTGTTACGAGACGACATCTTTAGATAATCAAGGGTGTAGTCGTACACCTCTTTACCCCACGGATAGTTATCACAATCTTGGCTATCAAGAATATCTAAGAAACACCTATCAAACAAAAGATTATCCTGAGCACCCATGAGAAAATTCGCGAGCAAGTGAAGCTTGGCCAGTTTCACTCCATCATGGTCATTTATCCACGCTCTATTAAGAAATAGACATTTAATAGATTGACGGTTCAAGCCAACATTGGCGAAATATCTGTCAAAAAGACCATCAGGGACGGGGGGATAACAAAGCTTTTTACATAAGCCATTACAATTTAGACCACTTATCACAGCGAACTCCTCAACCCCAAATCTCATGATCTTCCCACCAAAGTCAAACCACATTTCATCCAACCTCGGTTGGTGTACTTCTCGTAATGAAATCAAATTGACAAGTTGATTCTGAATCTTATAATGAGGTAGGTCTATAAATTTACCAAAAGCAGAATTTCTAAACACCTCCAATTGATCGTTGGATAACAAACGCTTAATGTCAGCAATAGGTGTGGTAGAACGACTGTTATCATTGCTGTTGATTATCTTCACGACCAATGCTCTTGAGTTTGGAAAAAGCAATTCCCAATCCTAATGAAAACAACAAACAATTGATACCAACAATAGCAGTAAAACATATAGAATAGATCTAACGAGTTTATACAGACATGAACATTAGTACCAACAATGGCATTATTTGCTTGTCAACATAGATAGCAACAATTTTTGTGAGGATCAACAAATAAAACAATTAAAAAAAAATTGGACAAAATTAAAGATAAATTATATGAACACTGATACTAGGAAAAATACTTCTAAAGGAAAAAAATACCTTGTGTTCTCTTTGGTGTTTATTCCTGGCATCTTCATCTTCAAACTCGGAACAACTCGATTTATGCCTATGTGTGTTGCCCTTGGACCTCCTCAGTACTGATTTGTTAGCCTCAGAGCTATCCTCACTTTCTTCTTCATCCACAGGAACACATTGTTCAACTTCGAAATCAGAATCGATGTCATCTGGATATTTAACCTTCCTCTTCCCATTAGCATCTCCGTTTCGCTCCATAGCATTCTTCTGAGAAAATCGCTTCTTCTGAGCACTGGAACGAGTTATCGGACATCTGACATGCGAGTGTTCTCCAACACCTTTGGTCTGCACATTCTTCTTGCCAAACTGAATTTTCTTTTGAACAAGCCTCCGACGGCGCTGAACTTCAACTTTCCGATGATTTTGCTCCAGATTTCCTTCACCTCCAGATGAAGTATCAGAGACATAATTTTCATCCTCAACTTTCGCCATTAATTCATCTGCACAATTGATTTTTGGATTTTACTTTGAACAAATTAGGGAAGAATGAAGAAAAACGGTGAGCATCGACCTCAATTGAGATCTGCAATTTTTGGTATGCGTGTGGGCAGGGAACGTGTTTGAGAAGAGCCGAATCTCGAAAAATCTTGAGATACGGTTTTATTCACTTTAATTAGCACTAATTAATTAGATTCCTAAAGTGGAATTGTACATGTACTAATCTCGTATTGTCCGACCAGAGAAAAGTTTAATTGCGAAGCTTTTTTTATTCTCGTTAAAAGGGCAAAATAAAAATATTTGTGCGTCCCAGGGGTAATTTTTTCAAAAAACTTTGACCCATGTGAATTATCACGGTTTTGGCGTATTACCATATAAACTTTTATTTTTAACAAACCACCGTATTAACTATAAGAGTTTGTCACTTTGCCATATGAAACCAGAATTAAAGTGGTTTTTTTTCAAAAAAACAGCTAATTTGTAAAAGTATTTTAGGAATTGTGTATGTATGAAAAAAACAAAAAAAAAAATGAACAATTGAAACTTAGACCTAGGAACCATACTTACGCAGCCTTACATATCCTACACAGTCGGTTGATGGGAACTCATCCGGCGACCCTGACGGTGTTGCAGAACTCGAAGGAACACCGGCCGACGAAGTGGCCGTAGCCAAAACCTCCACTTATGGGGAACTCGTCGGGGTAGGCAGAGGGGTCGTTATCTGAGATGGACTCGGAGAAGGCATGGAGCACATCGGAGGATCGATTAGGTGTTGTCGGAGATACCGTCGGAACCTGTACCGGAGAATGTACCGAAGAATGAGACATGTCGGAAAAATGGTTGTACAATGTGAGCGCGACGGAGGCTGTGATGGGAATGCTTAAATGATGGACGCAGAATATGCCGGTGTCGGAGAGTTGGTGGCTGGGATCGTGGACGGTGTTGGGGAAGGCACGCCAAGGGACTGTGCACCACCAAAATATTGGTGCACGACCAAGAACAAGATATGGGCCAACATGTCCAGTATCCAGACCCGACGCTTATCCCTTAGGAAGAAAATCAATCCCCACACATCAAACACACAAAGAAAAAAAAATGAAGTACACAATTAAATTTGGTAAGTTTCAGTAAAAAAAACAGAACAATAAATCATATTGCATGACTCAGTATATACCACAAATATGATACATACATATATATATTAGATGACTAAATATAATATAGAATTATTATTGTTATACCTTGTCCCTGTTGCGCATATATCTGATCCTGGAAGACCCCGATTGCCTCGAACGTGACCATCTGCTAGACATTATTAGTCAGAATAAACCAAACATTTATGGTGTGTAGGATAATAATGGTTGTCAACATTTTTCATTCTTTCTAATTTCTTTCTTTTTTTTTTTTCTTTTTGTACAGTTACCTTTTCTCCGGTTAATAAGAGGTAAAATATAGCCGTTATACAATTATTTAACCAGATGAGTCGGCGGATCCGACAGCGTAGCCGAGCACATTTTAGACAACCATGAAGGCGAACAGTCCGTTCCAAGTATGATGGCTGCGTTTTTGTCGCATGAGATGTCGACAGGAATGGCTCGAAGACGTCGAGCATCCAAATGTCAGTCAAGAAAATGACTGCGGCAGCCGACCCCGGAGACATCGCCAGCGAAGGCGATGAGGAGGGCGCCGATGGAGAGGGAGGCTGTTAGATATGCTGTAAAAGCTTGGCTTTCAGATATGAACAATTCCATTTTGATTTGGCAATCATGTTTCGGTCAAAGTACATATGCTTGCAGTTTATTTATTTATCCAATCATACTCCTTGTCTTACATTGAGATAGTGTGGTTCGTGGTGTCTCAAACAGAAAGGTCACCTATCGGTTCCTTGTAAGACTAAATTATTTGTTCACAGTCCAGACTGGCAGTGAGACCCCACTTGGAAAAAGACTGAAGTGTATTCTTGATTCAGTTGATCTTTGACTGGAGAACTACACTAGTACTTATGTTAAGTATTAAACAGGACCGTGGCAGGCTAAGATTATGAGACTCACAGATCGTTGTTGTAATCTCGACCTTCAGTTATTGATGCGTTCTCTAAAGCTGTAAGATAATATAAAATAGGCGTGTATATTCATTACTTGTTTATTTGATTTACCAAAGGTGATTCCTATTCCGTTAGGATGACGTACTCGGTACTTTGGTAAATGAGGATGTTTATATGACGCGCTATTATAAATTATTTACGATCACTATGTTCTAGTGCGCTGGATTGGTGACGTCCCCGAGATGAGCTCAGGAAAGAATATTATGTCAAGCCCTGCAGGCGGATGTGTATCCGACATAATGATTAAGATCTGAGTGGTACTAGTTTCAGAAATGAAGAAGAAGTTGATTAATTATTTTGTCAGTAATTTAATTAATCAACGGACGTTATATCTTAAACATAGGGAGGTAAATCGATCAATAAGATTAATAAATATTAATCAAGTGGAGGTTTGATTTAATTGATTAAATTGGAGCCAAATGGGGAGAGCAATAATAATATGCTAGTGGGATATATTATTATTTAATTTTATTGGGATTTTAGGAATTAATTTTATTCCTTATTTAATATTCCATGAGATAGGGAATATTCCTTCTAGAATATTAACTAGGGTTAGGAGACTTGAGAGTTTTCTAGAAGGTGATGTTAGGAGAAAGGAATCATGACCTCGTTGGAATTAATAAGTGGAGTAGAAATTAGGATTCCTTGGCCTAATGGGATAAGCCCAAATTTGACACCTCCTTAATGTCCCCAGTGGAGCCTATAAATACACCATGTGCCAACCTCTTGTCTTGTACATGTGAGTCACGATTTTAAGGTTCCTATAAGGAAGAGGAAAATCGAGATTTATACACAATAGAGAGTTAGGGAGTTTTGATTAATCGCTCCACCAAGATTAGTCGAAGTAGGTGTTTAGGTAATCCATTAGAAGATTTTAAGGTGATATTTATTAAACCTTGAAGATCCAAATACTCTGGCCACTACTCGCCGCCGACATACCTTGCTCAACCAAGACTCCTCGCTCGACTAGGACTCCTCGCTCGACCAGGACTCCTCCCGCCCCAGGAAACGTGCCGCATACGATCGGCATGACACGGACCCTGCTCGCCTAGTCCTCACAGGCATAGGAAACCCGCAACGCGCGACCCGCTATTCCTCGCCTGATCAGGACTCCTCGCACGTATAGGAGACGTCCCGAGCACGTACCCGCGTGAGCCCAAACGCCGCACGCCTAGTCCTTCCAGGCATAGGAAAGTTGACACGCACGCGCATCTGTATGCAACCCGAACCGCTGCAATCCGAACCCGACCAACGTGATCCGGTGATCCGTTCGTGATTCAACACTCGACTAGAGTCGACAAAGGCCAAACCCTTCAACCGATTGGGTTGTGGTAGACAGACGATCTCCATCAACGGAAATCAGAAACGACTCAGAGTCGGCAAAAATTTTAAACCGTAAGTCCTAATCCTATCTATAGATTCCGCTGCGTTAGGATATATTATTCAATAGATTTGAATGTGCACATTGTCGATGTTCCTAATAGAACCTAACAACTGGTATCAGAGACCAGATTAATTCGTCTTTGTGCACTATTCGAATTATGACTTGCGTGATATATGTGAATTAATTGTGTACGGGCGCAATGCATAATATATTAGAATTGCAAATAAGTGTTGTTTGCAGGTATTCTTTAATCTGACTATTATGGCCCGTATGTATGTGTGCTTTTAATTCATGTATGTCGTTTTATAAGCCTCGGACATGTCGATGAGTTTTTGGGTTGGTGAATGCTAATGCTTGTAATAAATTATTCGTGCGGTGGGACACCACATAGTTTACTGCTTTCATAGAAAACTCATGTACGACTCTTCCGCGGGTCATAGGATGAACTATGTAATTGTTGTTTTATATTATTCATTATTGATCCGGAGGACATGGACCAACCTCGACGGGGCGAGGCGATGAACATGCAGACGGATGCCATGGTGGTGATCCAATGGCGACTTTCCCGGAGACGACCTATTCAGAATGAAGAGTGGGAGTCACTGCGAAAGGGGTGTTCCAATTCCTGAAACGGAAAACACATTGAAACAAGGACAAGATTGTGTTTCTCCGTAATATTGGAGATTAATTAATGGCCATAGTAGTTGGATTATAGTTCCTAGTTTATTATTGCTTATTAATTATGCATGTCCTTATTTGCTTTATGTGGAAATTGAAATTGGAGCATGTCTAGGAAAATCCCTTAAATTAAAGATTACATTAAGTGTGTAATGGGTTGAAATAAATTACATCCAAGGCCTCCATCATAGGTTTGTTAGTGAAGTGGTTTAGATCGATCCCACAGGACGATTTATCTCACAGTTCACAAGGACAAATTTCTTTCGGGATGGTAATAGCGAGCTATTACAAAAGAGTACGGGTCATCTACAGATGAACTTATTATTTTGGTAGTGAACTTGGTACCAATTAATGGGTTACATTTAAAGTGCAAATTAAAACGATATTCCCACAGGAAAAGGTTGTTTTTATTTCAATAAGTTCCTTCTTCTAATAAAGAACAAGGGACACATTGACTCAGTGCGCTGGCCAAAAGATGAACCGACTGTCAATTAAGTACTGTTTGGATGGTATGTTAATTAATGGGATTAATCCCTCCTCTTGCAATGGCTTGAACCGTAGATGTCCACACTCCGTGGCCTGCGGGGATTCGGTGTTTTGAGGTGTCGATGAATTTATTCAAATGTTGTTTTGAAGGGATCAATATTTGATGTTAAATTCAAAAACACTTGACTGAGTAAAGACTATGTTTGCATGATCCCAGGAATTCAAAATGTCTTTTAATCCATTGTCCGAAATTCTCAAAGATAATTTACTTGTTTAAATATGATTAGAAATAGAACTTGGATAGTGTCTTATTTTGCTGAGGAGTACAAACCGAAATGCAAGTGTATCCGGTATAAGCAAAATGGACATATGAAGATGAACTGTTCTATTCTTAAGACAAGAAAGGTAAATCTTAATTCACTAGAAAGTCGAAACATTTTTAATGGTGTTATCTATTAGTACCTGGTGAATAGAAATGTAACCACTAATTATGTAAAAAGGTTCCAGGAAACCAATCGACATGTGATAGGTGGATTACCATCTAGAATGGGTTTTGCTACGAAAGTGGTCACTATTGCAGTGGGAGTTCTCTATAAAAATTTTGGTTTATGAGTAATTGTCTTTATGTGCCAAGTCTAAGAAAGAACTCACGTTCAGTTTTTTTATTTTATATGGATGTTACATTTGTTGGTTTGAAAAGCAAAACATTTTATCCATTTGGTACAAGGTAGGACAGTTTGTAAACTCAAAGGAACCAAAAATATCTCATAATGATTTTTCTATAGAAATTTTGATTTATAAGCAATTGTCTTCACGTGCCAAGTTCAGAAAGAACTCGTGTTCAGTTTCTAAATTGGGTATGGGTAAAAATGTGACGTTTTATCCATTTGGTATGTGGGTAGACAATTTATGAACTCAATGAGTCAAAATATCTCACAGGTGCAGTTGATGAAATAAATAGCACGTCGACTAGAATCAATAAAAAGAAAGGTCCTTCAATGAATGAATCATACATTATTTTTGGCATCTAGTATTTGGGAATTTTAGCAATAGTAGAATTCAAAGGTGGATAGCCACTGAACTTATGGGTTCTTTGGGAATGGATGAAACTATCTGGCCTACGAATTATACTTAGTAGCTAAAATGACATAAATGACCTTTTGTAGGTGAAGGGATTTAGAAGCCAAACATATGTTAGGATTAATTCATCCGATTTGAGAAGTTCTATGATTTTTTGGACAAAAAGGTAGTTTTGATTATTTTTCTTTGAAGAAATTTGTTCAAAACAGGGTACATTAAGTGACATTCCATAAGCTTAAGTACATCAAAAGAGTGCAATGGCAGTTATGGAAAAATGTCGAGATTAATGTATCAGTGGCATTACAATCAAAATCGTAGTGACTAATACCTTTTGGAAAATCATGGAAATACTTGTTGGATGTTGAGATATGGTCTCAACAGGTTGCATCTAGTTCATCAAAACGGGACGGTGTAACTTGACGAAGGAAAAATGTCTTTTAAGTAGATTGATAATGTCAAGGATGAGTTATTAGGAATTTCATTTTTTTTTCCGTGTTGGCATTGTGCAAATAGCAGGGTAAGTTCTGAACATAGTTCCATATAAGTTAGTAGTCATTACTCTGAATGAATTATAGATGAAGGCATAGGCCTAGTCAGGAATACATTCAGATTCAGAGTGTTTCGGCACACGTACTGAAAAGGATGATACTAATAGGATTGGAAAGGTTGTTTGGAAAATAGGCTATTTGTGGGATACTTCATAGTAACGAGAAATGAGTGGATTATTTTATAGTACTAAAAGTCAGAAGGTGATCGTTAGTATGAATGCCTGATTTTTAGAGGAAAACTAAGTAATAAACCAAAAAACCCATTTGTAGAATTGTTTTGAGGAAAGATAAAGGTGAATGTTCAACTTTGTTACCAAGTGTACAAATGTGATACCACAATAAAGACTGCAATACGTATTTTGTGCTATACACTTTTGTAGAGGAAACCTTGTTGTAGTGGGAGGGTTGCAAAACAACTCCATGAAATCGTGACAATGAGAGAGTCATTGGAATCGGTCTCTAGTAAACATGAGATCATGATATTCATGTTTTGAGAAAAGTCCCAGACTTAGTCTCTAGTAAACTTGAATTCATCCCTAATTATACAATGAGTAGATCTAAGACAAAGATGTAGAAACTTAGCAAAGTTTTAATGATTTCTGATTTGGAGTCGTGGACTCTAATCAGATCTGGGTTCTTATAGAATTACCTAGTAGCATATGGGCTATCGGACGAAATCTATAAGTGAAGAGTTTTGTACAAGGCTTGTTGTGAAATAACAAACTCAGAAAGAATGAGGTCTATTAAGAGTAAGTTTTTTCACCGGTAGCCATGTTTAAGTCTGTATAAATGTAAGACTTGTTGAGAAATAGTAAACTCAGAAAGAATGGGATCTATTATGAGTTAGGCTTTTCACAAGTAGCCAAATTTAAAGCTGTTGTCACTCATATGAGTTATGAGATTAGGCAAAGTGGATGTCAAGACATTTTCCTTAACCGGGAGTCTTGTGGGAATATCCATGAGCAGCACCCAGGAGTGTTCATTAGACTAGGGCTAAGAGCATCTAGTCACTAGACTGAAACAGTTCATTTATGGATTATAATGTGCTGGACATTTGGTTGATAAGTTCGAATCGTGGATTCGATTATTCAACAAATGAGCATTGTGAGTGGCGCAATGGAAGCGTGGTGGTATTTTTGTACTATGTGTTGACAACATCTTGATCACTAAAGACAGTGTGAGAGTGTTGAAAGACACAAGGGTATGGTTATCCAAGTAGTTGGATATGAAGGATTCGGAAACAACAAATATTCTTGAGATTGAGGATCACAAGAAAGATATGTTGTGATTATCCCGAATTTCATTATCCAGATACTATCATAAGGCTCATTCGAAATTTGCATAACACAAAGGCAGTTCCTTGTCCTCGGCAAAAGGAAGCCTAGTATGTGCCATGTGGTAAATGAGACTTGATGTCTATTATTGCCAAGGGCATAATGAGTAGATATCAAAGTAATCCTAGACAGGAGCAATTGGTTCAAGGTAGAACATATGATCAAGTTTCGTAAAAGGGCTAAAGATAATATGTAGGGTTACCAAACGAGCCATAAGCAACCTATGGGTTACAAAAGATTCTGATTTCTAATAAGGACATGAACAAACAAGTAAAAGCCACCTTATGGTTTGTGTTCACTTGTGGGAGCCAAGCAAAATGGAGGAATGTCAAACGATAATACGTTGACAAATTCCACCATAAGAAACTCAGTGCGTCCCTTCCCAAAAGGCGAGTGACGTAGAGATTGGATTCACCATTGAACTAAAAATGTGAAACCTTGTCAGACCAAGTCAGGTCACAATGGATTGTGATGACAGTTGGTGCAGTTAAGACAGAGAGGAATCACTAGTTCATAAAGCAAGTGGCACATAGAGCAAGTACGCCAGTTGCAAAGGACTGCGACAGCGTGGAGGTTTGTCGCCTAGTTACGTCAGGAGACTTCGGTAAAATCCTTTTAGGATTGGCTTTCCAGCGAAAGCGGATGATGGCCATGTTAAAGGTTTGGAGTCGGATGTATGGCAGAAAGGACAACAATTCTTTGATAATTAGATTGAAAGAAAATTGTGGTTAGTGATAGCCATGAGCTTATTAAGCATAAGTGGGAGATTGTTAGATATGCTGTAAAAGCTTGGCTTTCATATATGAACAATTCCATTTTGATCTGGCAATCATGTTTCGGCCAAAGTACACATGCTTGCAGTTTGTTTATTTATGCAATCATACTCCTTGTCTTACATTGCGATAGTGGTTCGTGGTGTCTCGAACAGAAAGGTCACCTATCGGTTCCTTGTAAGACTAAATTATTTGTTCATAGTCTAGACTGGCAGTGAGACCCCACTTGGAAAAAGACTGTAGTGTATTCTTGATTCAGTTGATCTTTGACAGGAGAACTACATTAGTACTTATGTTAAGTATTGAACAAGACCGTGGAAGGCTAAGATTATGAGACTCACTGATCGTTGTTGTAATCTCGACCTTCAGTTATTGATGCGTTCTCTAAAGCTGTAAGATAATATAAAATAGACGTGTACATTCATTACTTGTTTATTTGATTTACCAAGGGTGATTCCTATTCCGTTAGGATGACGTACTCGGTACTTTGGTAAATGAGGATGTTTATATGTCGCGCTATTATAAATTATTTACGGTCACTATGTTCCAGTGCGCTGGATTGATAACGTCCCCGAGATGAGCTCAGGAAGGAATATTATGTCAAGCCCTGCAGGCGGATGTGTATCCGACATAATGATTAAAGATCTGAGTGGTACTAGTTTCAGAAATGAATAAGAAGTTGATTAATTATTTTGTCAGTAATTTAATTAATCAACGGACGTATATCTTAAACATAGGGAGGTAAATCGATTAATAAGATTAATAAATATTAATCAAATGGAGGTTTAATTTAATTGATTAAATTGGAGCCAAATGGGGAGAGCAATAATAATATTCTAGTGGGATATATTATTATTTAATTTTATTAGGATTTTAGGAATTAATTTTATTCCTTATTTAATATTCCATGAGATAGGGAATATTCCTTCTAGAATATTACCTAGGATTAGGAGACTTGAGAGTCTTCTAGAAGGTGATGTTAGGAGAAAGGAATCATGACCTAGTTAAATTAATAAGTGGAGTAGAATTAGGATTCCTTGGCCTAATGGGATAAGCACATATTTGACACCTCCTTAAGGTCCCTAATGGAGCCTATAAATACACCAGGTCCCAACCTCTTGTCTTGTACATGTGAGTCACGATTTTAAGGTTTCTATAAAGAAGAGGAAAATCGAGATTTATACAGAATAGAGAGTTAGGGAATTTCGATTAATCGCTCCACCAAGATTAGTCGAAGTAGGTGTTTAGGTAATCCATTAGAAGATTTTAAGGTGATATTTATCAAACCTTGAAGATCCAAATACTCTGGCCACTACTCGCCGCCGACATACCTCGCTCAACCAGGACTCCTTGCTCAACCAGGACTCCTCGCTCGACTAGGACTCCTCGCTCGAACAGGACTCCTCGGTCGACCAGGACTCCTCGCGCCCCAGGAAACGTGCCGCATACGATCGGCATGACACAGACCCTGCTCGCCTAGTCCTCACAGGCATAGGAAAGCCACAGCGCATGACCCGCACGCACCCGCTATTCATCGCCTGATCAGGACTCCTCGCGCGTATAGGAGACCTCCCGAGCACGTACCCACGTGAGCCCAGACGCCGCACGCCTAGTCCTTCCAGTCATAGGAAAGTTGACACACACGCGCATCTGTCCGCAACCTGAACCGCTGCAATCTGAACCCGACCAACTTGATCCGGTGATCCATTCGTGATTCAACACTCGACTAGAGTCGACAAAGGCCAAACCCTTCAACCGATTGGGGTATGGTAGACAAACAATCTCCATCAACGGAAATCAGAAACGACTCAGTCGGCAAAAATTTTAAACCGTAATTCCTAATCCTATCTATAGATTCCGCTGCGTTAGGATTTATTATTCAATATATTTGAATGTGCACATTGTCGACGTTCCTAATAGAACCTAACAGAGGCTACGTTGGTTGGTTGGCAACGCTATGTATCATTTTCTTTTTTTATTTTTGTTTTTATTTTTTTATATATCAAATTTACTAAAATGCCCTTGAAAATCAGCTTTTTTGAGTCAAAACTGCTTTATATCCGGTTTAGGGGGCAAGATGAAAAAAACATGGAGTTCGTATGGCTGTTTGTAAAAAAAAATAGTTGATATGGTAAGACGTAAAAATCACAATAGTTCAGATGGCAAAAAGTAATTTACCCATTCCTTATTGTTAAAGGCTTCTAAAAATTGCTGTAACGAAACATACGCTGATTAAAAAATAATTATTTTTTATTTTCTTTAAGATGTATAATAGTTTCATATCTCTACTATCTACTATCTTATATGAAAATCTTACATGCTTTCTATATGTGACAAGTGTTTTCTACTATCTTATATGAAAATCTTACATGCTTTCTATATGTGACAAGTGTTTATAGTTATAAGGTGACAAGTCTACCCATTTCTTTTTTGACCATATTGCCCCCATTTTTTTCTTTTACAAGGCTATTAATGTGGCTTATTTAGTCAATGTATCCCTCATTTTTTTTCCTTTTCTTTATATGTGAGATTACTTTTTGGCTCTTCTACACCGTTTGCTTTTTTCTTAAAGACTTTTCTTTTCTATTGTCAGCTGTCATTTCTTACCCACCCACTTTTCTCTCTTCCCCACTTTTCTCTCTTCTGCCAAAGAGGAAAAAAATGTCGATCGACAACATCCCGACCCTCCTCCAGCAACTTTTGTTTCTTTTTTGTGCCTTTGCTGTGAAGTGTAATCTTCTATTTTTCTTTTTTCTTTTCTTACCAATTCGATAACAATTTTAGCTGAAACCCTAGATGGCCTTGTCGCGGGTGGACCTTGGAGAAAATTCTTCGGCACTTCGCCGGATGCGCCGACTGGGGACTGACAAGCGGCTGAGGTGTAAGGTCAGAAACGTGCAAACGTGGGTAAGCCACCCTGACCGAAGACAACACGTGCACCGATGGGTTCTGATGATTAACCGATGATGGTGGATCAAGATAGAGACGGAGGAGCAAAATCAAGCGAGTTGCGTCAACTCCAAGAATAAGCAGGCCTCATCCCCGAAAAAGAACTCAAAACCGTCGACGATGGAAGAAGCCGCCGTGGAATTTCTGTTGGAGAGCTTGAAAAAAACTCCTCATGACCAAGGCAGATTTGATCAGAAGCGCCAAGATCCAGGTCGAGTGGCTCAAGAAGTATTCGTGCCTCTTTAATTGAAGAACTACGGTTTTTTCGACAGACGGTGCCGCGGTGGAGACCAGGTCTAAGCCCCAAAAGAAATGCATTATTTTTGTTTTTGTTTTTCATTCGTGATGCTGAAAGGTCGTTGTTTAGGGTCTGAATATATCTTGGCTGAATTGCCCTTCATTTTGTCTGCTTTATGGGGTTAGTCAAGTAATTGCACTATGACGGTGGTTTTGCTTTATGTCACACTTACACATAATTTTTGGCTTTTTGTATCCTCTCTCATCCTCTCCTCTGTCATTGTCATTTAGGAGTGACATATTTTTTTTCCCACCAGCCGAAGTTCCGTGAGTCACAGAGACAACCTTTTTTTTGCTTTTGACAGTATTCCCGCACACGCAAGTCAGGATAGAGACATGAGCAAGTAAACATCTCCCCTATTGACAAAATCCCATTCCAATTCTCAAAAGGGAATAACTCAATGACTCACATATGCAGAGGAAAATAGATTGTGGACGAACGATGACCAAGGCGGCGAGAAAGTCTGCTCCGGCGACCAGAGTTGTGAGAGTTCACGCGAACAAAGAATTTCTTCAGCTGGTGCTGGCCCATGTTGAGTTGCCAAAATCAAAAGCATATTCTGATGGTGATTCTGGCGCATAATCAGATACTTCTATGGAGATGTCAGTGGATGGCTGGGATGGTATTGCTCTTGAATACTCTGTTGACTGACCATTGCACTTTTTCTTTACAATGGAAGTGCTCTCTAAGTAAGTTATCACCAGGCCCATTCCTCTCCGCGTGGAAATGTGAAGCTAAAATACAAAGCAGTGATAAAATCTATCTAAATTTTCATCATTAATAATGTTGGAGTATCCAACTTCTCAGTTGTCATTGTAGCAAACATCAGTAATTACGTAGTGAGAGACTTCTCTGTCGTTGATATCATACTTTGAATAGGTGCCTTAGGATCTTTCAGTACTTGGTCCGTCTAAAGCGCACAGATGGAATTGGAAAAGTCGTGGGTTGTTGCAAATCATTAAGATCATTCTGATTTTGCCAAGCCTCACAACAAGAGCCGTAAAATTTCAACATCTCAACAGAAACTTTGGACCAATGTGGCGTGTTAGAAAACATGTCTTTCCGGATCAGAAATCTCCAATTCTATATCCACGTACATCCCCCAATGTATGGTCCATGAACTTCCTTCTAATTGATGTTTTGCCCATCAACTGATTTTCTATAAGATTTCTTTTTATTTCTTTTTTACCCTCTTTTCCTTTTAAAAAAAATGAAAACAACTAATAATGAGATACTAATTAAGAAACTGAACTCAAGTGCACAACTGGTCTTATATGCTGCACTTCCTTCAAATCTGTAGTGGAATATTACCTTGAGCAGACATCTCAAATCGATCAACTGGGAAGTAAAAGTGTTCGGATTAACCATGCAGACTGATCTTTCCTTTTGCAGATGGCCTTGCCTTTTTTGTATAATTTCATTTCCTATAGAATTTGTGTTTTTTTTTCTTATGATTGTATTTAATTATCAGGTAATGAGTGGACATATGTGAAATCAGACATAGGATCAGACACTATTATTTTCATTATTTACATGAATTAGTTTGTCGTTATTGCCACATCAATGTGCCATTATCTATTAGAACTTTCTGTTGAAAGATTTAATTATTGATTCCGCTTGTTTACGAATTATTAGGTGGATGTAATAGAATCTCAATGGAATGTTATATAATCTCATATTCAAAATTCTCGAGATTTCACAGGACTGGTGGGCTTCCACCAAGAGTAACCTATTGGAACTCGTTATCTGATTTTAACATGCACATGTGTTAGAGAGATTCTGAATTTGCCAATTGCTGTGTTTGTTCTTGTTTGGCTTAACTGCTAATATAGGACCCAAAAGTTTTTTTAATCTAAGTTGTATTGCTGCAGGTACTTATCTGCACCGATTGCACAATCTTTCTTGGATATTGGTTCCGTCTCATGCATTTTGGATGACATTAAGAAGCTTTGTTAGCAATTTTGCTGGAAGGTTGAGAACCAAGATTGCACAATCTTTCTTGGATATTGGTTCCGTCTCACGCATTTTGGATGACATTAAGAAGCTTTGTTGGCAATTTTGTTGGAGGGTTGAGAACCGAGAGAACAAACAAACCACCACCGAGTTGGAGCACATAGCTGAACTACTACAGGGGCTGAGACGTGACTTGCAAGTCAGTCATTGAGACGACCATTTAATCAATGGTGGGATTAAGCATGGAGGAGATGTCTGGAATATTATTGTCTTTTAAGTTGATTGGCTTGAAAAAAGAAGAAGAAGTAGATGGCTCTTATTGCCTTGTTACAATAAGAGGTGCTAGACAGGTAAGTTGGGAATTAATCCTTAACATTAAGATGTATTTTTGTGTTTTGAGTTGTTGAGCAGGCCTGAGACAGCAGTAACGGTCGAAAGTAGATTTAGGTGAGTAGCCTGCTTCGAGGAGAGTGTGAGGCGACCATTTTAAAGTTTTCTGTTTTGCTTCAGGTTATATTCAATATCACATAACTCTATTTTTTCGATTTTTTTTTGTTATTTTATAAAATCGTTCTTTCTTTGATGTATGTTGNGATTTGCCTTTATGGTATTTGCTTATGTATTGTGGTTGTGATTTATGAATGTCAACTTCGTGGAATCCGAATAGGGGTATATCTAAATTTAGGTATTAATTTAGTTTAATTCTCTTTCTCTCTCTCTCTCACGCTCTTTTTGGATATTGCAAGCAATTGGTTATAATAAAAGTTTATTCTACACATTTTAGTTTAACCTGCATGTTAGATTTTTTTAGCTTGCAACAAAAGAAATGAAAATGTATTATTTACTAGGTATGCATGAAATGGTGATTGTGCTGGAACTCTTTGGTGGTAACGTTTTTCCCAAGTTTCGTACTCAGGGATTCAAAATATAGGTACGAAGTTATTCTGTATTTATCTTTCTTCCCTTTGCGAAAGGAAATAACTAGCGTAAGCAACGATCTAACATTATTACATTCCTATGTTATACATTAGCCTTTTTTCATTTAACTTAATTAAGTTATCATTTATTGGTTTTTGACATTAAGCAGCTTCAGCCAATTCTGCACCAAAACAGAAGAAAGATGAAGGTAGGAACTCCTATGATAAGCTCTGAACTCTGTATTCTTCTTTGGTTGGAAGTTTCTTTTCAGTCGAATGATTGGATTTTCCTCCTATCTCTCTCTTTGTTTATATAGACCGTTGAATTGTAAAAGGGGTGCTATTGTAAAAATTGTAAATTACTTTATTTTTTGGAAAATACACCGTTGATTGTAACGTGTATTTTCGTAGGTACATGTTTAGTGTTTAATCAGTGACGCTTAACACTTGTTTGAAAATTAGTGGCGGATAATAGCAATAATATGAGAAAGGATCTTCAGACATTGTCAATTGAACAAGCATAATATATGTGAACAGTTGCAAACACACCTGGGACTTCTTTGGTTGTCCGTTCCCTTCGCTTAAGACTTCTCCTTTTGAGATGGCCCGCGAATGGTCCTCACTCGAGGACACCAAGTTTTGTAGTGAGAGTACAAAATTCAACTCGATAACATCATATCGAATTTCCAAACAAACAAATTCTCAAGTCGGAACTTAACTCTGTATCGCTAGAGTTCAAGTTCATACTACTAAGTTCGCCACTCATCTAGAGTTCAAGAATGTTTAAAAGCAGGAGGATAAATTCCTAAGTCTCGATTTACATCTCATAATATCATACTATTTCATATAAGCAATTCAATATTACTCATGTATTCATACATGAGTTGGCGCGGCACGACGGAAGCGAGTGGTCATAGCTACATCATAATATTCACTTATTTTCACAGAGTTCATATAAATCACATAAAGCAGTCTACAGAAACGTAGAGTACCACACTGTAACGCCTCACTTTGATTTATCAAAAATCCATGACTTTTCAAAAAAATCAGTTAAATTTTCAAAACTTATTTCAAATATTTGTGGTGTTACTCATTTAAAATCCAACATCAATCGTAATCTCATAACATCAATCTGAACATCAACTCCCAAAACGGGATTCATAAAATCATAAATCATCTTGTTACCCAAACCGGGTTCCCAAAAATTCATCACAGGATTCACGGGGCATCTCCCCGACATTATTTCAAAACGTCATAAATCTCAGCGTTCATAATTTCATAAGATCATAAAATCAGTTCATAAAATAGCAGAAGCAATGACTACATAATCGGGTCATAAGAACCGACTACCACTCGCCCCTTCTCGTCGTCATGCCTGCCCTGCTCAACCTTTTTTTTTTTCCAAAACGATAGGCATATCATTCATAATAAACAAGTTACAGTCAATAATCCGAAGGCTAAATAGCCTAAAAATACATACAAAACAGTAGAGACCTCCTGCAAGAGGTCTAGACACCAAACTAATCGACCAACAACACAACAAACCAACAATCCCAAACAACAAATGCCCGTGCCTCAAACAACAGACCAACAAGACACAATCAAATAAAGGGCAGACACGCTGAGGTCCCTTTACTGCAGAAAAAATCAGACCAACAAGAAAAAATCAAAACTAGCCATGAACAAAGTAACAGATGAAAAAGAACACTACTGAACCAAAAGGACCTAGTGCTTCCATTCCCTGCATTGCTACTCAGCCACTAGCTTGATATTTTTGAATTCCAGCCATTCACTGTGAGCAGCACTAAGAAGAGTTCTTTCTGGTATCCAAACTTCCTCAAACTTCCAAAGGTTCCGGGCTTTCCAGAGCCACCATAATATGTAAGTAGTCAGCTCAATTCTGGCCTCTGAGATCTCTTTCTTGTCCAAGAACAAACATTTCTCCATCACAGTTGAAATGATTCAGATTGAGTGGCTGCATTCCATTGTACAGGGGCTAAAGACCAAATTATTTTGGCTCTGTTACAGTGCAGCAGAACATGCTCAATGGATTCCATTTCCTCATCACAAGCACAGCATATAGGATCCAATTCAAGTCCTCTTTTTTGCAGATTTAGGCAAACAGGAAGGGAGTTATTACAGGGGTAAATTACGCCAAACCCCCCTGTGTTATACGAAATAGGCGCGCTTCACCTTGTGTTTTAAAAAATGCATGACACCCCCTTGTATTTAAGTAGTTGTTGCACGATTCACCCATTCCGTCCAACTTAACGGCGCGTGCACAACACTTTCTATACCTGCGAAAATTTTATATTTTTTTTATTTTACATAATTAATAAATTACCTTTATACCCTTCTGTGCTTTATTGAACAAACTAAAATTTTTTGCTAATAGGAGGAATCGAACCTGGGTGTAAAGGAGGTGAGCTTGCCCACTAAACCAATGGGCCATATAGATTCTAGTGTAGGAATTGTACACAACTACATTTATTATATCATCTCTAAACGAATTAATAAAGTAAAATTAAAATATAATAGGTAAATTTAAAACAAATTAAATAATAATAATAGTAATAATAATAATAATAATAATAATAATAATAATAATAATAATAATAAGAGTTTGAGAATAAAAATAATGTAAAAAATACAGTATGATAGAACTTAATATAGTAGCATGAATTGAAATTAAATATATTATATATTTCTATTTTTTTTTTTTTTCCAACGATATCAAATCTCCATTCAAAAACAGAATAAAGCCCAACAGGCTAATGTACATATGGGACAAACCCAAAGCCGAGATGAACTGAGAGGAATGCACCACTGCTTCTTAAACACAATACAAACTCAACACCAAGACAGGAAACTAAAGCTTACAAAGCTACCAACATACCACAGCAACATAAAAGACCCAAGCACACTCCAACTCCAACACTAAACAGAACAAACAGAAAATATACAAGTCAGAACATTACAGATAGCACCAACTAGATAAGCCACTGACACAAAGACCTAGCTCATCTACAAAGCGCTCGTGCAATCACCTGTTATTGTGTTGGTTGAAGTCCCTCCAGTCCTTCAAAGCAGCCCTAATGATCCACACTTCATCCTGCCAAATTATTTCAAACACCCAGAGATTTCGAGCTCTCCACAACCACCATAGAATATATGTGGAGAGCTGGATTCGATCTTCAGATGTATCATTTGCAGCCATGGTACTAACCCACCACCACCATTGCTTAAAAGTCATCATCTCATGAGGAACTCTATTCCAAGTTACAGGAGAAAGCTGCCAAACAACCCTAGCTTTCCTGCATTGAAATAAAGTGTGTTCCAGAGTTTCCTCCTTTTCCCCACAAACCCTGCATATGGTCTCCACTTCAAGTCCTCTGGCCTGCAAGTTGCTGTTCACAGGGAGAATATTAGAAAAACATTGCCAAATAAAGTGCTTCACCTTCCCCAGAACTGTCAGGTCCCAACATCTTCTTCTAGCTTTCTTATTGCCCCTTGCCATTGTACTACTCTCAGCCACATTGGTCATACACAACTTCTCAAACAGCATCTTAGAATAGGCTTTCTTCACAGAAAACTTTCCTTTGCAGATAAAAGAACAATTCCATTGGTCAGCTGCCCTGGGATTCAGAGATTGGATTCCCAGAATTTTATCAGCATCAGCTTCAGTGAACAAAGCTCTGACTAATGTATTATCCCACTGCACTCCACCTGCAATCAGCAAGTCTTTCACCCAGAATAAGTTTCCCTCAACTTCAACTCTCAGCTCAGGTTTCCTACAGCTCACCCCTGGCACCCAATTCACCTCATTTATCTTAGTATTCTGGCCATTTCTAATGACAAGGTTGACCTGTTGTTGCAGAAGAGGAAGGAAGGAAGCCCATGATTTCCAAAGCCAAGATGCACTCCCAGATTTATCCCAGTCAAAGATGGAGCAGTTTTTGAAATATTTGCTCTTGAGAACTCTGTACATCAGCAGCTCAGGCTGTTCAATGAGCCTCCATAACTGTTTCAAGATCAGAGCTTTATTAAATAGCTTGAGGTCCAGAAACCCCAGTCCCCCTTCATCCTTTGGAAATGACAGTTTATCCCAAGAAAGCCAATGCAAAGACTGTTTCTGTCTATCCCCCTTGTTCCACCAGAAATTAGCCACTAACCTGCACACTTCTTTACACAACCCAACAGGCAAGACAAAGCAAGACATGACAAAAACTGGAAGAGCACATAAAATAGATTTCACTAAAACTTCCTTTCCTGCAGTTGAAAGAAAAGAATTTTT